GTGACAGACCCCAAGGCAGGAGCTACCCTGAATGTTGATGCTCCGTGTGCCTTGACCCACATCACTAAGGGGCGGGGGGCTAACGTTGTCCACGACTCCAGGGGAGGACAACCGAGAGCTCTGTGTCTGGACCCTCCTGGGCTCTGTCCCAGGCACCTGTTTCCGTTCTGGTTTTATTTTTTATAGTTTTTGAGACAGGGTCTCTCTCTGTCACTCAGGCTGCAGTATAGGGCCACAGTCACAGCTCACTGCAGCCTTGACCTCCCAATTCATGCCATCCACCCACATCAGCCTTGCAAGTAGCTGGGAACACAGGTGTGCACCACCACAACTGGCAAACTTCTCCCCTCCCCTCCTCTCCCCTCCCCTCCCCTCCCCTCCCTTCCCCACCCTCCCCTCCTTCCCTTCCTCACCCTCCCCTCCCTTCCCTTCCCCACCCTCCTCTCCCTTTTCTTCCCTTCCTTCCCCCTCCCCTCCCCTCCCCTCCCCTCCCTCCCCTCCTCTCCTCTCCTCTCCTCTCCTCTTCTCTTTCTGAGATGGTGTCTTGCTATGTTTCCCAATGTAGTCTTGAACTCCTGGGCTCAAGTGATCCTCCTGCCAGGCTGATTTTAATTTACAAATTTTCCCTGTAGGAATCCATAATCACAGGTATAATGGCTTTCAGGGGCTCTGGGGCCCTCCTAGAGAATCATCACATCTGAGGTGGCTGTCAGGAGCCTGGGTTTCTATAGTTGGTGTCGGAAGTGAGGGTGGCACAGTCGTGTGGACTGTTCCCAACCTCCCAGGTGGCTGGACTCTTTTCTAGTTGGCAAGGGTCTTTTAACTCCAGGAAGAATTCAAGTTAGTATAGAAACTTAAAAAAGAATCAAACCTGAAATATTATTATTTTTGTCAAGAAATAACATGTTTTATACTTTACAGCATTTTAACACTGAAGAGAATTTGGCCAATTAGAAGCCAGGGAGCACCCCTCAAGATGCCAACGGCAAGTGTCCAGTTGCTCTCCCGCTCTTTGGCCCTCTGTCTCCATCTCTCTCGGTGGAGCTCGGGGAGGAACAGGCGGGGGCAGGTGAGACAGGTCAGAGCTGCATGGTTCCTGTGGCTGTTGGGTGAGGAAGCAGTGAAGAGGGTGGACAAAGGGTGAAAGGCCCTTCATAAGGAGGAAGAGGAAGTTCAATGGAGAGGAGTGCCAGGCATCCAGAGGCCAAGGAGCCCTTCCCTTTCTGCCTTGGCTCCGGTGGGGCTGAGGTACCAGGGTCGAGGGCGGAATCAGGAGGCTCATGCCAGGTGACATTAGAGGGCATGTTGGGGCTCAATGCAGCCTGGTCCTGGGCTCCCCACCCCAGCCCTGCTCCCACCTAGCCCTTCTCTATAAAGCGTGTGAGGTCCAGAGGGCCATGCTCTCCTCCAGAGGACAGACACACTCCAGGGCCTGCCCAGTGGCCCTGCTCCCAGTCCAGGTCCCTCCCACAAGGGCACCTGAGTCTTGGGGTGGCATCTCTCGGTAGAGGGGTGGCTGAGGGTGGCTTTTTGTGGGGATGCAGGCTGGGTGTTCGCAGACCCTCCCCGTAGAGCCACCCCCAGGTGGTGGGGTTGGGAGGGGGAAGTGACAGGGAGGACAGGTGCTGACTCTGCTATTTCAGTGCTGTTGGAGTGCTGAGCACCTGTGTCCACACACTCCCTTCCCAGAAGAATCCTGTCCAAAGACCGGACTTTGGACTTTTGAGTTGATGGGGGGATGTATTAGGACTTTGGGGTTATTGGGAAGGAATGAGTGCATTTTGTATGTGAGAAGAACAGGAGCCTTGGGGGTCCTAGGTGGAATGCTATAGTTTAAAGGTCCCACCAAAACTCATTTTGGAATTTAATAATTGCCTTGTGGCAGTGTTGAGGGCTCTGCTCCCATGGATGGATTAATGTTACTATCTCAGGAGTGGTGAGTTATCGTGGGAGTGGCTTTGTTATAAAAGTGAGCTGTCTTGTGTGCACTCTCTTGCCCTCCTGCTTTCTGCCGTGGAAGATCACAGCAAGCAGGGCCACACCAGATGCTGGCACTATAATGCTGGACTTCTCAGACTCCAGAACCATGAGCCAAAGAAACTTTTCTTTATAAATTATCTTGTGTGTGGTATTGTTATAGCAGCAGAGAACAGACTAAGACACACATATATGAACCAGCTGAGGTGCCCCATATGAACAGGCTCCCCCATGACAGGACACCCCTTACAACAAGGCTCCCTTATGCTGGGGCCCCCATCCACAGCCCCATGTTTCAGATACGAAAACTGAGGCTTGAGAGGTGCAAGGGATCTTCCCATGATTGCCATGGAACCAGCCAGACTCCCTCTCCCCGTGCCTGGTGCCCAGGAGAGGCTTGAAATGATGACTTTGACAGGATATTGTTGAACCCTCCTGTGTCCGACTCCAAGCCCTCCACTTATTCTACCTTCTGGGCCACCTCCTTTTAGACAAGGTTCCTTGTCTAAAGGTTTCTTCCTGGTTTTGGGCGATGGGAAGGGGACCCCTGAATTTGCCACGGCTCTGTTCTGCTGAGGGTCAGAGAGCAGTTGGTTCCTTTGTTCCTTTGCCTGCCCTAGGGTGAAGGTAGGGCTCCTATCCAGAAGCAATCTGCTTCCTATCCCGTCCAGAAGCAATCTGCTTCCCAGTCTCACGGATGCCTAGCCCTGGCTACCCATGGAGCCTCTCATTGGCCATACATGGCCCCTGCTTCCAGTCAGTCACTGTTTCCTGGCCCTGGCAACCCAGTGACCCTGACCCCTAATTACAGACACAGACAGGATGGGAAAGCTTCCTCCCAGCACTCCTCCCAGACACAGTCCAGGGCCTGCCCCAGCGGCCGTGCTCGCAGTCCAGGTCCCTCCCACAAGGGCACCTGAGTCTTGGGGTGGCCATCTCTCGGTGGAGGGGTGGCTGAGGGTGGCTCACACATCTGTGGGGATCCCAGCTGCACCCTACTTTTGTAGGTAGCAGGTGACACACAATAGCCCATTTCTTCCAGGAATGAAGCCAGCATCCCACCCAGCCCCGGTTCTGGGGGTGCCTAGATGCAGCAGCCACAGGACAGGTTCCCTGGCCCTCCCTCGACCACCACCTCTCTCTGGGATGGGCCTCAGAGCTGCAGTGGCATCCCTGGTATGGGTGGGGAAACTGAGGCCCAGGAGAGGCATAAAATTACCAGCATAACAAGATAGCCTCCTCGGTCTGTGTGTGCCTGGGCTGAGCTGTGGGGCCTTGGTGGGCAGCGGGCACTGAGCTGTCCTTTCTCAGACCCATCCTTGAGGGTCCTTGTGTCTCCATTCTGTGTGGCCCTAAGTGGGCATCGCTATGCCCGCCCAGGTTGGCAGTCTCTCTTTTACCCACTACAATGTTGGCCCAAATGACCACAAATGACCCAGTACTGACCCTGGCCACCTCATGGGGACCCTACTGAAAGCAACTTGGTCCGAGGATGGGGCAGAAGCCAGACCGCGGGTGCTGCAGAGTGCTCGTCCCAGAAGCTGTGCTGGGAACTTGTGTTGGAACACCAGGGTTGGCTCTCCCCAGGACCTTGTGCCCTCACCCTCCAGCCTTGGTCTTCTCTCCGGGTCACAGCCCACCCTCCATTGGATGCAGACACTGACATCCTGGGCACTTCAACTGAGAAAGTCCAAAGCAGCCCTCCTGGGGGTACTGGTCCTGCCCATCCCCATCTCCTAAGGGTCTGCCCACTCCACAAGGCCGCTGGGCCAAGCTCCTCTATTTCTATAATTGCCATGGGAGCAGCGAGCGTGTGCCAGCCTCGCACTGACCCCTACCCTGACTGCACTTCCTCCCCTCCCTGCCTCTTCCCAAGTCACCATGGGGCTAAGTTAATATTCAGTGTTCACTTATTGCCACCAGCTGGGCACAGTGGCTTACACCTGCAATCCCAGCACTTAGGGAGGCTGAGGTGGGAGATGGCTTGAAGCCAGGAGTTTGAGACCACCCTGGGCAACATAGTGAGACCCTGTCTCTACAAAACATAAATATATATAAAAAGGTCAGGTGTGGTGGCTCACGCCTGCAATCCCAGCACTGTTTGAGACTGAGGCTGATGCTGGAGGATCACTTGAGCCCAGGAGTTTGAGACCAGCCTGGGCAACATGGCGAGACCCCATCTCTACAAAAATACAAAATAAAATTAGCAGGTACAGTGGCATGCGCCTGTAGTCCCAGCTACACTACTTGGGAGGCTGAGGCAGGAGAATCACCCAAGCCTGGGAAGTTGAGCCTGCAGTAAGCCCTGTTCTCGCCATTGCACTCCAGCCTGAGCAACAGGAATGAGACTGTCTAAAAAAAAAAAAAAAAAGAAAATTACACCAGGGTGAAATTCTTTCCATGGCAGGGGACTGTGATCATGCTCCTTTCTGACAGAGTACCTCTATTCTCCGGAATTTCAGGTCGTCCCTTCCTCTCATCCTGCTCACCGTCCTCGGGGCAGGGCTCCATCCTACGCAGCATTCCACGGGGGCACCTTTGTGTCTGTTTTCTGTTTGCTTGTTTCCTGGAAACCTCCCTCCTGGAATAAAAACATCTTTAAAAGCTAAAATTGATGACTGAGGAACTCCTGGGCCCACGCCCCTCTGGGGCCGGCCACCACCTCTGGGTAAAGCCCATATTTCCAGCTGTCAGGCCGCCCGGCTCTGCCCTCCCCTGCCTCACCGCTGGGGCGAGGAGCTCCCTCCCAGGCTGCTGCTGTCCCCGCTTTCCCCCAGCCCTGCCTCTCCCTCTGCCCCCTTCCCACTCTCCCCTGCCCCCTTCCCACTCTCCCCTGCCCCCTTCTCACTCTCCCCTGTCCCCTCTGGTCCCTCCAGAATCCCTTAAAAGCAAAGCTCCTGGGGAGGATGGGGCGGGTTCCCCGGGTCCCCCACCCTCATCCCTTGCCCCCAGCCTAGCCAGCCTGGCACCCACCCTGGCCTGGCCTCAACTGCTGTTTCCCGCTGCCACCTCTGTCCTCCCTCTGACCACCTTCTTCCCCGAGCCCTGGGGTTCAGGCACAGGCCCTGCCTCAGTGACCTCTGAGCTCAGCCTCCTTCTCAGCTCAGCCCTGGACAGAACGGGGGCTGGTGGGTATCCCCTCCCCCAGCACCTGGCCCTGTCCCCTCCTCCACTGTCTGGTCCTGAGTCCCTTCCCATGTCCATGGCTGGGTCCCACTGACACCTGGCTCTGACCCTGAGGGGAAGTGTCGGGCTGGGAGGAGCCACATTGGGAGCTGGGGTTCAGCCAGAAAGAGCAGGGTCGGTCCGGCCGCTGTCCTTTCTCTGAGCCACCACCCAGTACACAGCCTTGACGTGGGGCCAGTTACAGGTGCTGCGGGATGCTCCACGGCTGCACCCAGAGGCAGCAGCTACTCAGCCCAGGGTGTCTACCAGGGGTGGGGGAGCCCTGCAGACGGTTCCCAACTATTCCTCCAGCTTGGAGGGAGGGCCAGGCCTGAGGCCCTCAAGGTGATCTCTGGCACCACCTTTGCCTACCTCTGGATGGCCCCCTGGAACCCATGAAGCTGCTCCAGCCCTTCTTCTGGGAACAGCCACTGCCTGTGAGCTCCCGCTCATCCTCCGAAGCCGTGCCCTTGTCTCTCCTCCCTGCACCCCACCCCTGGTGTCGCTGCTATGTCTTGGGCATCCCTGACTCTTCTCTTCAGCCTTGGCGCTGCCGGATGCTCCCTGGTGAGGGGTGCTGCTGCAGGCTGCCCCTGCCTGGGGGCCCAGGTCTTGGGCTCCTGCAAGTTCATCTGGCATCTTCCCTGCCAAGAGTCTGGGCTGGGAAGGAGGCTATTTTTAGCTTCTCTTATCCCCCGTAATTATCTTGCCTGTTTTGCCATGGTGCCTGGTGCAATCCTGCTGGAAAATGTCAGTATGTCTCTCCACACTCAGGGGACCTGGGGACGATGGGACCTACGCCCTGGGAGTGGGCGTGGTGGATGAGGGTGTTGGTCCAGGAGCCTCCTCCGTTCACATGTTCTCCCCGGACATGGGGCCCAGCCGCCTCCTCATTCCTGGATGAAACAAAAGGCTTGTGGTCCACTCAGACCCCTCCGTCTCCTGGAGCCCTCTCCACGGGAAGAAGGAGGCCGGGGCACCCCAACCTCTGCAGCCTGCGAGGAGCCCGACTGGGCTTTGCTCCTTTCCGCACCTGCAGGCGAATCCGTTGCTGTCCGGGGCCTCCCTATGAAGCACAGACGGGGCGTGGGTGGGGGTTCTAGGTCCTTTCTGGTGGGGAGGGAGGCACCTGTGGGAAGTGGCCTGTCGTGAGGCAGGCTTCGCAGCCAGAGGCGGGAAAAAGGGTCTGCCCGAGGTTGCCCAGCAGAGGCAGCTGGCAGAGCAGAGGCTGGGACCTGCTCGAGATTCTGGGGCTGCCAAACCCTATGCCCCCCTCAAGTCTGCCTGGGGAGCTGTCCGGTACCCAGGGACTCCCCTACTTCCGTGCCTCCTTTGGTCCCCTTGGCTTGGCCTTAAAGCCCATCACCAACGGCCCCTCCCCTCACCGTGGCAGCCTGAAATCACTCTTCCTACAGCACCTGAGGCCCCAAGAAGGGACCCTGACAGGCTCCCCAGTGGCTTTTCTCAGCACAGCTTCCTCTGACCAGTGTCTCCCCCTGCAGCCCAATCCTCCACCCTCTGCAGGTAAAGCCTGAGCTGCCTCCTCCAGGAAGCCCCACTGATGCTTGCTCCCATCCAGGTGAGTCCCAAGGAAGTCAGCCCCGGACACATTACTTGCTTCACAGCTGGGCATGGATCCTCGGTCTCCCCGAGACTACAGGCACAGGAGGAGGTTGAGGCCCCACTCTGACATGCCCACACCCACCCCCAGCCACCCCAGGACAGACTCGGTCTCCTGCTGTGCCTGTCTCCTCTGCGGCAGAGCCCTTTGCCCTCCTCCACCTGGCGCAGCTCCCTCATCCCCCTGTGGTAGTCAGAATGCTCCTCCAAAATGTCAGCATTCTCACGTTAGGCTCCTGGGCGCAGGGAACTCGAGCTACTCCTCAGCGGACCTTGACATGTGGAGGTTGTCCTGGATCATCTGTGTGGCCCAGGGTGACCGAAGGATCTATGAGGAGGGAGGCGAGTCAGACAGGGTGTGGGCATGAAGCAGGCCGGGTGCTGCTAGGCGACCACGACTGGTCCTGCTGTGGCTGCAAGAGGACACTCCCCTCAAACCTCCCAGGGGAACGCAGGTTGCAGACGTCTCGATTTTAGCCCAGTGAGCCCCAGGGCTGGGCTCCTGACCCCCAGAGCCATGAGGCGAGAAAGGCGTGCTGTCTGAGCCCCTGCATTTGTGGTTGCTTGCTCGGTGGCAGTAGGGGACCAGCACAGCCTCCACGCTGCCTGCTCCATGCCAGACTCGCCTGTCCAGCATCCCTGCACGGTGCAGATTCCCGGGCCCGCCTGGCTGTGGCACTTCCCCTTCACTCGACTGTGTGGCCTCTCGGAGCCTCAGCCTCCTCACTGGTGAAACAGGAAGATAAGGGTGCCTCCCCCTGGGGCTGATGTAGGGCTGACACATGGGTCACATAAGGTCTCACGCGATCAGCCCCTCCCGTGGGACGGTCATGGAGAGGGGCAGGTCAGTGCTAGGTGGGCAGGGTTGCCTGTCTGCTCACCGCTCTAGAGCTGAGACCTAGGGGACTAACCAGGGACTCACTGTTGGAGTCTGGCAGCCCTTCCCAGGCCCCTGTGTACCAGCCTTGGGGGCTGCCTCCTTGGCCTCTGTGTCTCAGGCCCTGTGCAGTGGCTGGCACCTGCCAGTGCTGTTTACATGACTGGTGATGGAGGCTGTGCCTGCTGGGGCCTCCTCAGCCTGGGTCGGGGCCATCCCTCCGTGGCCCTTTCCCTGACTGCTCATTTTATGAGGTTGTTGTTCTTTATTTGGTGTCTCTGCATTTCCATTCTTCTCCCCTCCCCCACCATCCGGGCGTTGCTATGGGAACCAGGCTGAGGTCCTTGCAGCATCCTTGATAGACGGGTCTCAGGCCTGGGCAGGGGAGCAGGTTTGTTGGCGGGGAGAGGGGGGTGTTTGTGAAGGGTCCTTGAAGTCTTGTGGTTGGAATCACGGGGTCCAGAGGAGGGAGAGCTGTCAGACACCCATCCCTGCCCTGCATCCAGTGTCCCCACTCAGGGCACAGCCCTGTCACTACCACCCCCTGCTGTCACTGCTGTGGGCCCCAACCCCTGTAATCTTTGGCCAGGTTGCCTCCATCACAATGGCCTGGGCTCTGTCCCTGCTGTCTCCCCTTTGACCTCCCCTTTGACCTCTGCGGGAGGGAGCTGGCCACACATCCTCCCCATGCCGGGCCTCTGCCTCCCCACAGTGAAACGGGGTGGTCAGAGCTACCGCCCATGGCATGGTCAGATTCACACGGTGACACCAGGGACTGGCTCCCCGAAGATGCTGGATGCAGGTCCCTGCAGAGTCCTCGGCTTTCCCTCCTCTCACCTCAGTTTCCCCATCTCTGCAATGGCAGCACTTGGGCCATTCCCCAGTCACCAAAGCCACCTGCAGGTAAGCAAAGGGGAGAGAGGGTGGGGGCAGGGACCGAGTGGAGTTGGCGCTAGGCCACAGCCGCAGCCGGGAGCAGCGTATCCTCACGCTGACAGCAGCCCCCGCCTGCCACTGGCCTCCTGCCCCCCCGGGAGCTCCGTGCCTGGAGTCCCAATGAGCTGCGTGGGTGGCGAGGAGAGCCTCTGGCTGGGCTTCCGAGGCTGCCGCACTCCTCCCTCCTCAGCCCCCACACACTGCCTGGCCGTGGGTGTGGAGCTTAGGAATGCGGTTAAGGGGCAGGCAGGGCAGGCTGCGGGTGGGAGGGCTCTGAGGGCCGGAGGTGTGGTCTGCAGAGAGGGGCTCTAAAGAGGGGCCTCACCCCACCAGGCGGGCTCCAGGACGTGCTTCCCCCTCAGACCCCACTCCCGCCCTGACAGCATCCTGATGGCGCCCAGCCAGAGGCTGGAATGCTTCCTGCGTGGGGAAATGTTGGATTAAATATTGGGATATATTGGGTGGATATATTGGGTTAAATAAAATCTATGATTCAAATTAGTTTCACCTCTTTCTCTTCATTTTTCATCATGGCCACCTCAGCTGGCAGCGGTGCTGTCCACCCGCAGGAGGGAGGGGCAGGGACGCCAGCCAGCCGGGCTGAGCTTTCTTCCTGGGTGCAGGGCTGGGTTCGGGTCCAGGCGAACCCCAGAGGAGGGCGGGGGCTGCCTTTGTGATCTTGATCTCGCTGGGGAGGGCCAGGATGAGCCGTGTGGGTGAGGAGAGCCCCTGGCTGGGCTTCCACGGCTGCCGCACTCCTCCCTCCTCAGCCTCCACACTGCCCGCTGCCTGGCCGTGGTGTGGAGCTTAGGAATGCGGTTAAGGGGCAGGCAGGGCAGGCTGGGTGTGACAGGGTGGGCACCCCAGCTCCCAGCTCCTGCTGCAGGCCTGTCCTGAGACAACCTGTCCTTCCCTTCCCAAGTCCTGCCTGCAGCCTGAGCCACCTCCTGTGGGTGGCTCCTCCTGCTCTGGCCATGGCTGTCTCCCGGGTCCATCTCCCCAGCAGCCCTGGCAGGCGGCTGCCCTGCCCCCTGGAGCTTGAATTAAAGATGTTGAGGCCTGCTCAGCCTGAATCCTTCCAGGAGGAAGACAGAGTCTGCATCCCTATCTATCCAGCCAAACGCCAGCTGGAGCTGATCAGTTAGGCCCAACTCTCGCCAGACCCTGGGGGCCTGCCCTCTGCCTCAGGCATCCTCTCCCCACACAGGAGGCCACACAGCCCCACGCTTTGGTCCTCTGTTGACCTGGACACCCTGATGGACAGTCCAGAGCTGGCTGTCAGGGAAAACGGTCCTGGGGTCCTCTCCCCATGGTGGCTGGGGCGCTTTTTGTTCTACTGAACCCCAATCTTTCTCAGGGTTAGGCCAAAGGACCAGGAGGGGCTTGGCCCCAGCTGCTTGCAGCCCCCTGCTCTGGAGGATGACCCTTTAGCTCAGAGAGTGTCCCCCTACACCTCAGCATGGGAGGGCAACGGGGGGGCTCTCTGGGCCAGGCCTCATTAGTGGACCCTCGTTCATGGTGTCCAGTGGTGCCTGGGTCCTGGACACTGGACACTGGCTCTGTTGGATGCTGGTGCCCAGGGGTCTGTAGGGGACTTCCTGCTTCAGATGCCTTGGGGCCTGCCCAGTGACAGTGCACTGTCCACAAGCCTGCTTCTGTCCCCAGATGTACTGTTCATAGCGCCCCACCGGGGGCTGCCATGCCTGCCATGTCCCAGGCATCCCGGTGGCCAAGGCCGGTCTCCATGCCAGGCAGAGCTGAAGGGCCAAAGAGCTTGGGCAGACCAGAGAGGGCATTAGCATCCTGGCCACCCACTGTCAAAGGGCCCCTGTCTTCCATTGACTCAGAGATCTCTCCTCGTCCCCCTCGGTAGAAAACCCATCGTCCTGTGATCGCACCTGTTGGACCAGAGACCCCAGAGTGCCTGCTCACCTTCCACCCTAGCAACCTTCTCCCCACCTAGGCTCATGGCCCTCCTGCTGCCTCGAGCTCCCCTAGGGCAGGGGCTGCCAGGGTGGGGTCCTCAGTCCACCCGCCCTCTCCTCTCACAGTCCCTGCAGCGCCTGCCTCTGTCCTGTTAGCCCTGCCCTCCATAGCGCCCTGGTGTCGCTCCTTTGGGCACGGAGGGGCCTTGGGTACCAGAGACGACCCTGCTTCTTGCCCTGCCTTCACTCCCCTTCAGTGCTGGGGTCAGGGTCATCACCCCAGCACCCTGCACGATCCCATTCCTGATCCTAGACAGTCCACCTCCTGGAGCCCCCACTCTGGAGTTTCTCCTCCATCCTAGTACTCTAGTCTGCAATTCCATTTCCAGGCACCTTCAAGTCACTTGCTCCCCTCCCAGGGCAGCCTTCGGCCATGACTTCATGTATCTTCTACCTCTACATTCCCCAGGAGGGGTCAGGCGAGGGGTCCCTGCCCTTGGGAGCTTGTGGGTCAGCCAGAAGAACAGGGCCAGTAATGATAACAGGAAAAACCCACAGTGCTTGCTTAGGATAAGCCGAGCGGTCCTGGGTGATTACCCATTGAATGCCCCCACCCTTAAGGCCACCGTCACCCTCATGTCCCAGCTGGTGAGTGCAACCCGGTCCTGGTGCCAGCAGCCCCCATGGAAGCCCCTGTCAGCGGCTCCTGGGTGCCAGGGTCCTGGAGCTCCCAGGCAGGCTCTGCAGAGAACTGAGGGCCAGCCAAGCGAGTCCACAGCCCAAGCACGAGCCTGGCACCCCCAGGTATCGGTGCTACCTTCTTATGGGAGGCTGGGGATGCACAGGGCCAAGGGCACCTGCCCTGCAATGTGTTGAGAGGAGGGCCGAGGGGCTGGCCAAGGGAGTCTGGGGTGGGGATGCAGGAGGCCAGGGGAAGATGAGCAGGCTGCAGCCTTTGACCAGGGAGCTGAGGACCAGAGGAAGTGGGATGCAGGTGATGGGGGTTGAAGCCACTTGCCGGCCCAAAGCCCAGTGGGAAGCCCTGCTCTAGCCCCTCCCAGCCCACTTGCCTCCTCAGAGCCCCGCCAGGCACCCCTGCCCAGGGAAGAGATGTGAGAGGAAAAACTTTTTTAAAAATTAAAATCCTGATCCATTTAAATATGAAGTGGACACTTCTCAACGAGGTTTTTTAACCCATTAATTCATGAAGTAGCCAGTAGGGAATTAAAACCAGCTCACAATTTTAAAAGTCACCAAAAAAAAAAAAAAAAATCTGTAGGCCCATATGGTTTCGCTGGATAATTCTACCCAATGTTTAAAGAATTAGCACCAATTTTACACAATCTGTTCCAGAAAAAAGAAAAGGAAGGAAACTCACCCTATTTCATGTTATGATGCTAATCTCACCCCAATGTCAAAGCCAAAGACAGTACAAAAAAAAAAAAAAGAGAAAGAAAGAAAGAAAACTACAGACTGATAACCCTCATGAGTATAGGAGCAAAAATCCCTAACAAAATACTGCAGATAGAACGCAATGTCAGGTAAAAGGAATCAAATACTGTGACCAAGTGCGGCTCACTCAGGATGCAAGGTTGGCGCGATCTGAAACTCAGGCAAGGAAACCCACCATATGAACAGGCTGTATAATAACATTAAAGCAATTGATGCCCCGACATTTTTTGATAAAAATTCTTAGAAAAAAAAAGAAATAGAGGAGAAATTCTCTACTTGACAAAAGGGCATCTACAAACAAAAAACAAAACAAACACACACAAACAAAAAAAACTTACAGCAAACATCACGCTGTTGATGAAAGACTGCATATTCTCCTCCTGAGATCAGAAACTCTTATTGATCACAGTAATGGAAGTTCTAGCCACTAAAATGAAGCAAGAACAATAAATCATAGGCATACAGATTGAGAAGGAAGATTTAAAACTGTCTGTGTCGGCCAGGCGTGGTGGTTCACTCCTGTAATCCCAACACTTTGGGAGGCTGAGGCAGGCGGATCACCTGAGGTCAGGAGTTCAAGGCCAGCCTGGCCAACGTGGTGAAACCCCGTCTCTACAAAAAATACAAAAAAATTAAGCAGACATGGTGGCATGTGCCTGTAGTCCCAGCTACTGCAGGGAGGCTGAGGCAGGAGAATGGCTTGAACCTGGGAGTGGAGGTTGCAGTGAGCTGAGATTGCGCCACAGCACTCCGGCCTGGGCAACAGAGTGAGACTTCATCTCAAAAACAAACAAACAAACAAACAAACAACCCAAAAAACTGTCTGCGTCTGCAGATGACACAATTATCTGTGCAGAAAATCATAAAGAATCTACATAAAACTCCTACAGTTAACGGGCAGGTTCAGCAAGGTTGCAGGATACAAAATCAACATATACAAACAAATTGTACTGCTAAATGCTAGAAGGGGAAAACAGAAACAAAAATACAATACCAGTTACAACTGCTGAAATAAAAATGAAATGCTTGGGTGCAAACCTAGTGAAACATGGCCATGACAAAAGCCTTGTGAAAGAAATCACAGAAGATGAGGCGAATGGAGGGAAATACCATATTCATGGATTGGAGGACTTAACATACTGTAGAGGTCAATCCTCCCCAAAGTGATATTCAGGTTTAAAGAAATTCCTATCAAAATCCCAGCAAGATTTTCTTTTTTTCTTTCTTTCTTTCTTTCTTTCTTTCTTTCTTTCTTTCTTTCTTTGTGGAGCCACGGTTAAGGTGAACAAAAATCTTATCTTTAGGGGTTAGAAGGGACTAAATTAGCTAAACAATTTTAGAAGAATCAGATTTGAAGGGCATGTCATACTAATTTAGGTGATATTATAAATAACTGCAGTAAGAAATTTTATTGTGGTGTTGGCAGGGATCTTGTAGAGTGGGTGAGGTGGCAGAAAACCCAAATGACTCATACCACTTGCAACCCAGTCCCAGTCCTGCCTGCCCAGGAGGCAGAAAAGGTGAATCCCCAGTACAACTGCAGACCAAACCTCTCCCTCCTCCCCATGGCCCCATGAATCCCACTACCACTGCCTGTGCAGGCAGCCTCTCCTGGGGTCCCCACACCTGACTGGATTCTCTGGGAGAACAGGGTGGGCCAGGAGCCCAGCAAGCTTCACCAGCACATACTCGATGGGCCTGGTCCTGGCAGTTGCTTTTCTTTCTTTCTTTCTTTCTTTCTTTCTTTCTTTCTTTCTTTCTTTCTTTTTTTGTAGATACAGACAAGGTGATTTTAAAATCTGTACAGGAAGACAAGGGAACTAGAGTAGCTAAAACAATTTTGGAAAAGAGGAATAAAGTGGAAGGAACATGTCTACCCAATTTCAAGACTTCTTAAATAGCTACAGCCATGAAGACTGTATGGTATTGGTGGAAAGGAGGACACAGAAATGGAGTAGTGTAGAAAACCCAGAAATGACTCATACTGCACAGCCCAGTCCAGTCCTGCCTGCCCAGGAAGGCGGAAAAAAGGTGAATCCCCAGTACAACTGCAGACCAAACCTCTCCCTCCCCTCCCCCATGGCCCCCATGAATCCCACTACACTGCACTGTGCAGGCAGCCTCTCCTGGGGGTCCCCACACCTGACTGGATTCTCTGGGAGAACAGGGTGGGCCAGGAGCCCAGCAAGCTTCACCAGCACCGCCTCGATGGGCCCTGGTCCTGGCAGTTGCTGACTTGGGTGGGACTGTGGTTTGCCGTTCCTGCCTTTCTTCCCTTGGATGTGCTCAGACCCGCATTCCAATTCCTCCACTGGTGAACTTGGGCAATGGTTGCCCCTCTCTGAAACACACTTTCTACTGTCTCCTTTCTACTGTCTCCTCTGTGCAAAAGGGTTACTTTAGCCCTGGGGACTCCGGGAGGCTGCCCATGCCTATCCCATCTCCATTCAAGGAAGGGCTTGGAAAGGTGTTTCCTGAAAACCTCTGTGGCTTTGTGGAGATGTTTTTCATGATCACAACCATTGAGGGGGAATCTGGGGTTTTATGTTGCCCACACCTTGCCTCCCTCCCCTGCCTATACACATGCTATAGAGGTAGTGAGCTCCCCAGCCTTGGTGGTAACCAAGAAGCCAGATGGCCCTGGGCCACAGATGCTGTGGAAGACACTCTTACCCTGGGAATAGGGGACTGTCCTGAGGTTTGGATAAGACCAGGTAGCTTCTCTGTAAGTGAGCTGGTCCTTTCATAGGTGCCTGGCTGATAGGTGGATACAACCCCAGCCACAGAGAGGCAGCTAAGGGAAGAAATGAAGGAATTGTCATGTGACTGTCAACTTCTAGGGAGGCCAAGCGCGTGCATAGGCCACTATGAGAGGAAATACCTCCTTCCTCCCCACCACGGCTCCCGTCATGCTCCTTCCTGTGGCTGGCAACTTGCAGCTTGTGCCAAGGCGGTCCTTGGCTCCGTGTGTCAAAGAAAAAGGAAAGTCATTAAAATAATAGCATCCGCCTCCGAAAGAGCCTGCCAGCTGCCTTCCCAACACCCACGCCCCTTCTCCCTCATCGCAGAGATCAGATTTTGTCTGAGGTGACTGCGCACCTCTCCCAGAGCACCTCACAGGCTCTTGCCATGTGGCCCTTTTCTTGCTGGTGAGAAATGGGAAGCCATGGGACAGAGCTTACAGGAAAGCAGTTGGTTTCAGCTGACAAAGACCCTTCACCCTCTTTGCTTCCTGGAGTGGAGATGTGATGGTTGGAGGTGAAGCAGCCATCTTGGGGGCAAGAAGAAGAAGAAGAAGAAGAAGAAAATCTTCTTAAGACTGAAAGTGGCAGGGTCTTTGGTGGGGCATGGAGCTTCCAACACAGTCCTAAAATACCCATTCTTTCTGGTTACACGAGAAAATGCCCACTTATTTAAGTCAGTACAGTCAGGTTGAGGTCAGCTTTGGCTGACTGGAATTCTAATGGGAGCAGACGCCATTGGTACCCCTTGCTACACCCTCTGGGCTCCCCTCTGACTCCCGCAGCCGTGGCCGCCAGCTCCTGTACGTGCTCACGACTTTCCACTCAAGCTCCCTCTTCTCTCTTCTTTGCTTCAGAGCCACCTCCAAAGAATGGGGCCGGACCAGCAGGTGCAAGTGTGCGGTGCAGAGGAATGAGTGTCCCTGGAGGTCCCTCAGCTCATGGGGGGCAGAAGTGAGTAGGTAAATAGATCAGCATCCTTGTCTCCAGGGCAACACACCCCTCTGAGGGCCCCAGCTGCTCCCAGGAGTGACCAGCTCAACAAGGGACCCTGTCTGGCTCTTTGCCCTTAACTGATGGGGAACCGGCTGAAGGATTCCACGTCTTCCAGCCA